CAAGATTATTCACTGAAAATGGCGTCTCATTTACAGCTCTCAAAATTGCTTTTTTCCAAACTATGTACTGCCTGTAAATAGACTGATTAGTTAATGAAATGTATTTTCACCTTTCAACAGAACAACGTAAGATTCTCAGTAGTTCCTGGTGTTTTTCTTTAGGCTTTATATTTAACCTTTCCTACCACAGATGACACCAAATGTCCATTGACATCTTGAATCACACACAGTCATTGACATCTTGTTTGAAGCATATAATGAAGAGAGAGATGTGTCTTATAAAATACAGATGCAAGATACAGCTGCCTTAAATACACTACTCACAATTTCAACTTAAAAAAAGGTGCCGTGGCTCTGAAGCTCTTAAGTTACTTTCTTTTCTCCATCCGTAGTGCTACATGTTCCACATGTATGTGGGTGTGAGAGCGGGAGGTGGTATTGGAGATGAGTTGGAGGACCCAGCTGGAGACCCCTACGAGCTGTACCGCATCCTGTTTGACATCACCTTCTTCTTCTTCGTCATCGTTATCCTGCTGGCCATTATTCAGGGTACGCACATCCTTCTTTTTTCATGTCATGTACTTCAGGTGATCTGCAACACAGATCACATTTGTCAGTGCCTTAAAATCATTAGTGCGGGTGAAAGAAAAAAAAAAAAAATTCTCCATGCACTGACACATACACAAGGCTTGTCATGTATTTAATATCAGCTTAATAGTTGTATTAATAGCTTCATTAGTAAAATAGTTGTTACAGGTTGTATCAAGTACTCTGACTGCTGCACCCCCCTGCAGGTTTGATCATTGATGCCTTTGGTGAGCTGAGAGACCAGCAGGAGCAGGTGAAGGAGGACATGGAGGTAAGACACCAGAACATTTTATCAACAATGATCTTTCATTGAGTCATGTTGATAGCTTTGGAGGAAAATACTTGTATGGACCAAGGTCTAAATGCAGGATTTTATTATCATAGGTATGTGACTTGAACATGAATTCAAAAGCTAAACTAATGTTAAATCCACCTTCTAACCACACCCTGTTTTGTGTTCTCTCTATTTTTGGTCATTCCTCATTTAAAGCACAGTGAAACTTTGCAACCACAGAAACATTATTCAAGTGTAATATTATGGGGAGAACATTTTCTGTGCCATCTGTCATTCAACAAATGTGATTGAAATGCCTTGTTGGCTGACGGTGGCCACAGTGACGCAGCATTTTTTGCTGTTCTTTGTCATAATTCGATTTTCTCCCGATGGGGTCGCTGATGACGGAGGATGAAAGTTACTGAAACAGTCCAGTGAATGAGTCAGCCATCACTCTGACATGCTTACAGCTTTTTTTTTTTTTTTTTTAAAGCCATACATGGAGCAGAACGAAATAGCAACAGCGTCTCATTCTTCCTCCTGCTCTGAGCCAAATGAACTGAACCAAGTCTGTGTCATTTACCCACTCTAAATATAAACCTGTCTTCTTCTTTCAGACCAAATGCTTCATCTGCGGCATTGGGAATGACTACTTCGACCGAACGCCTCACGGGTTCGAAACCCACACCTTACAAGAGCACAACCTAGCCAACTACCTGTGAGTGCAGCAGCAAACAGAAAATGACCAGACTCAGCATGTTTGAAGTCTTTTTGGTTTTTCATACCACTCGTGTCCTCCTGTGCGCAGGTTCTTCCTGATGTACCTGATTAACAAGGACGAGACTGAACACACGGGCCAGGTATGTGACAAGAGTTTCAAAACATATATTTGAGCTTGAACTTGCTCCTCAGCTGCATTTTGTACCGTTAAACACCATAATCACATCTGATCAGTCTCAAGAGAAGAGAAGAACAAAAGGCTGCATGTTGCCTCCAACATCAGCAGGTTTTACTTATGCAACATATCAAGTGGGTTGAAATGTTGCACAAGCACGGCTTCGCAGGAGGAAGAAGCAATGCGTGGGTTTACTTGGACTTTGATATTAACTTGTTACTGTCCAGAGTTTAGTTGATGTGCATGGTTCCTCTATCACAAATTTAGCACTGTGATGGTTTCCGATAGTATTTTTTTAGCCTTTGATTTCTCATAGCACTGAAGTTTGCATACAAAGCATTTATTACAGTGGCCCTCAGGGCTCTATGCACTGCAACGTAAGAAAGCATGCAAAAATAAACACTAAGCAATTTGACAACAGATGCAAAGAGTTTGGAAAACACAGCAAATGCTACAGACTACAACAGAAATGCTTCCAGGGGATGCTAGACAGTGATGAACATGGTGGGATTACGCTTGTTAATGTCATTTGTGACTCATGGAGCTACTCAAGGAGACTCTCCTTTAGTAGTGTGAGAAAATGAGCTAACATGCGAGTTTCTTTGATTGTAATCATTGATGTCTGCCATTAGCCTAATGTTAACATTTTGCTTATTAGCCAACAATTTCAGAAACAATCTTACAGGCACAACAAGTGTCAAACAGGCTAAAGAGTTAGCTACCTTCAGTTTAACAGTCGAGGATGAAGTGTTGCTGAAAATAAACAATACATGGAAACATTTCTGTTGTAGTCTGGGGCGTTTCTACTTGCTGTGTGTTTTCTAAACGCTTTGTATCTTCGTGTTTTCTTAATTTGTTAGCTTTTTGTTTATTTGCAGAGGGCCACCATAATAGAGAGATCATAACCCTAACAGCTATTGAAACTAAAACACAGTTATGTTGCATTACGTGAACCACCACCATCGTACGTCTTGTCACATAATGCATAGGTTACTGAATGAGATAACCTGAGCACAGTCGCTGCAGCTTTGTCTACTAAAGGCTAGCTAGCTGGCATGTTAAGCAAGTAACAGCCCTAGGATGAAAATTACAACAGTTATAACGCAAAACTGGTGTGAATCTCTGCATGGCTTGAGATCACAAAATGTTCGGTAGTGGAGGTGATGGCCAAATTTTTCAACTCCCCCTACAGGAGTCCTATGTGTGGAAGATGTACCAGGAGAGATGCTGGGACTTCTTCCCCACTGGAGACTGCTTCCGTAAGCAATATGAGGACCAGTTGGGTTAGGGAGGGCGGCCTCGGCTGGTACCCTTTACACCCCTCTTTACTTTCCTTCTATGTGAAAGAAACACTGAACTTGACAGATCAACACTAGCTGGACTTTCTCTGCTGCTGTGGTGTCAGTGTTACAAAAAAAATCTGTTGAAATACACAAAACAACTTAGCGAAATTGATTTAAGACTTAGGACTGATGATTTGATATATTGCAGGTTTGTGCATTCTTCCTTGTTACCTACAGTCACATGCCACGATGCCTGTTTTATGCAAATTGTTTTGATTCACATGGCCTTTTCACTTGCTTAACACCAACCTGTTGCACAATTTGATGTGTGTAGACATTTGGTACACGTAGATGGTTAGCATTGACAACTGAATGTCTGAATATGCACAATTTCTAGATTTACACCAAGATGTTAGTGTGATTTACAGTATTACCAAACCGACCTAATGGATGTGTGCTGTTAGTATTGATCACTGCTGATTGAGTTAACACTAAGTGAACCGAGTGAAACCCCATCTGCCTTTCAAAGCGGGTTCAAATCTGTCAGATACAATGAGGATGGTTCTTTCAGGAACCGGAGACGACTCACTTTATGTGTTGGTCGCGTGCCACTGTGCCTTATGAGAAACTATGCAAAGTAAAAAATAATTTAAAACTCGTCCCTCCTGACACATGCAGTGCTTTAGTTCTGGGTTAATTACAAGCAGATTTAGCTCATGCTACTTTTGTGGCTTTTACATTAAAAAAATTGTATAAAATCTAGATGAGCCTTGTGTAAATGTTGCTTAGTTTGGTTTTGTTCTAAAAGGATAACTTGAACCTGCTGTATTTCTCCTACAGGTCATTAGATGACTCTGTAGCTAAATGTTAATTGTGCTATCACTACCTCTGCTGTAGAGATTTGTGGAAACGAAAGGTTACGGTAAACGGCATCACCAGAGCAGCCAATTAGACAGTGCACAGACATGGTTTAACAAATAATTTTCACACTTAGCTCTGAGTCAGAAGGCAAGTAGATACAAGATAGTGGGGACATCGCAAGTCTCATAAGCATTTTCCTCATTTGCATCTTTTTCTTGTCCTAGTCCTGCCCATGTAAGATGTGAGGAGGAACCTTTCCTCGGATCCTTCATCTGAATTGTCCAGTCACCAAATGATTTCTGATAAAGGTACATGTCAGTTCTGTGAAGGATGGTTTTGTGTATCTTCTGTCACATCTCCTCCAGCACCATCCTTGGTCCTCAGAGCCAAGATAAGAGACAGGAGATGTCTGGAGTAGCCATTACAGTTACCTGCCTAGGAATATACACAATGGGTCAACTTACAGACTGACCCAGTCATCCTATGCAGTTAGCTGTAATGGTGACTCCAAGTGTCTGTGGATACGTCTCATGTCTCTTATAAGATTGTTCCAAGTCTCTTGGAGCGGGGACTGAGGACGGTGTTGGAGGAGCCATGGCAGAGGATAAACAAGGCCATCCTTCACAGAGGTTTTCTGTGAACTGACATGCCTTTTTAATTGGACACTTCAGATGAGGGATCTGAGGTAAGGACATCTCATGTCGTTATTGATGCGTTTCCTCAAGTCCTCTCTCTTTGCATTTTATGGGAGCAAGACTAAGACAAGGAAAAGATGCAAGTGAGGTAAATGACGGCCCTTATCAGGTGCATGAGACATATCCTCTATCTTGTATTCACTTCCTTCTGACTCAGGCACAAGCATAAATAATTTGACTGCTCTGAGGCTAACGTGTTGCCCTGGTGATGCCCTTTTCCTAAACCTTTGCAACAGAGCTCGTGATAGCAGAATTAATAGCTATAAAGTCACTCTTAGGGGAAATAGAGCAGGTAAAAAACAAAAAGTTCTCCTTTAAGCTGCAGTGTCCTGACCACTTGCACTTCTTTCCACAGTAGGAAAAAAAACAAAAAACGCAACAAGCAGGAAAACCTGGTTTGAGGAATTAACAACAAACTGCTATTGTCTGGCCATTTGTATGTACGTGGTAGCTTTGGTAAACTGCATTTCTTTTGATGAGGGGGAGAAAATAAAGCAACTGATGCAATAATCTTGCCTGTGACCTGTTTCATTATCTGCCTGTCGCCATGACAACAGGGATCCCTCTTATGACAACACTCTCAAAAAGAACAGAGGATTCTTTCTCTGAAACGTGGAGCGCAGAAGGAACATTTTGACACATTCTTACAAATGTTTGAGACGTGCTGTCCCATCTCCTCACCTCCAAACATTGTCTCTCCATCCTAGAAACCAAGCAAAAACAATAAAATATAATTTCTATCATATCCTTTAGCATAAAAATATAGTAAGCTCTATTTAGTTTTGATTTTTAAAGGATAATGCTGCAAAGGTTGAATTCACAAACAGCCCAGTTTCTTTTTATGGACCTGAAGTCATTCCTTGGTCACTGGGGGTCAGGAGATCATGCTGTCGAGCCAGTCCTCCAGGTCCTCCTCTGTTATTTCCTGCCTAACGGAAGGAGAATTTGGATGTGCAACATCTTTGTCTTTGACTGTCTCCATCTGGTCTTGTACCACCGCTTTCATTTCATCACATGCTGCAGATTAAAAACACGGGAAAAGAACTTCTCAGACCATCACATATGTTTTGAATGTAAATTCTTAAATGCTGAATGTTTAAGATAAACTGATTTGAAAACTCGTTTTCCCATAATATATTTGCTACATTTTAATTAAATGCTTGGTCATTTCAATGTGTTGAGAGATGAACGTCAACCAGAAAGTGAGGTACGATGATGAATACCACTCACGTCTGTCAGTTAAGTATGATGCCAGCAGCTGGTCAGCTTAGCATAAACACTATAATCAGGTGGAAACGGTTTCCTGGCTTTGTCCAATGGCAATAAAAATCATCTACCACCTCCACAGCTCATGTAAATTACATGTTACAGCTCCTCTGTTTGAAATGTACAAAAGTTGCACAACTGCTTGTGTTACACGGGGGTTGTGGGCCTGACTGTTTCTTGGACAATAATCTTATGGAGTCTCTGCTAAGCCCACTAATACTCAGAGCCAAGAAATAATCTGCCCTAAAAGCACAAAGGAATTGGAGCTGAATAAAAAAATTGAAATTAATTGGGGTGTAACAGCACCAGAAAGATGTTGAAAACAATTTGCCAATCCTTAAGATATGCTTAAAGTTTATGCCGCTGGATTAAAGTATGAACATACTTACCTTTCTCTGGAATGGCGTTCTCATCTGTGACACCGACAGACTGGTCATGTAAAACGCTCGAGTCTGGTTTCTGTAAACTGAGCAGCTGGTCCAGCTCCTCGTCACCATCGTCCGCTGGCAGGTCAGCAGTGTTCGAGGAAGCCTGTGAGACTGAGCCTGACACTGGGTTTGGAGGCACAGGAACCTTCTGGGTGGTGCCGAAGCTTTTTGAAGTTGTGGAAGGTGAAATAAATGTGGATGTTTTGGGCATTTCCTGTTTAGGTGCAAGGGTCATAGTGGGAAGCTCCACTGGTGTCAAAACCTTAAAAAAAAAAAAAAAAAAAAAAAAATCAATATTAATGACTGAAACAAGATGCACAGTAAGCTTCAAGTATGAAAAACTTGGCAAGAACAAAATACCACAAAAGCAGATAAATATTTGAGTAGTCAATTCCATAATTAGGCTTTGAATCTCTTGTATCCAACCTTTAAAGTATATAAAACCAGTTCTAAAACGTCAGCATGGCAGCACCTTGAGGTTAATGACAATGTGCTGATGTTTAACTGCTCTTACTATGCTCGTACAGCTGAAGCCAAAATTAGCATTCACCAAGCACCAATATGACCTTTTTGATGAATCGTCTCCACATAGTCAAACCAAAAGCAGCTGCGTGGGTTTTTGTTCAACTCAGGGCGAGTGCTCCACCTAATGTTTGAATCCACCAGGAGAAAATAAGACAGCATTTTTTCACTTTAAGACAAATTAATACACCCATCCATCTGCTGCTGCTGATCAGAAGTCAGGTTAAGCCAAGTAGGGCAGACATCTCTCTCTCACTCAATGTACTGCTTCTATTGCTGGTGGTCGGCTGATGAGGAAAGTCTAAACACAGTGAAACAACCTACCTGAAGAAGCTCCGCCTCCAGGTTGAGTCTCTGGTGGAGAGGAACCTGTTGCAGGCTCTGGGCCAGAGCAGGGAGGTCCACAAACACTGCCGACATCTGGAGAGGATGCAAAGAACAGTGCCCGTACGTCTTAGATGTGCAAAGCTACAACAGATTCTGAAAAGCCTTTACTCAACATTACCACCACATTTTGACCAATTTGATTTCAAGACATAAAATCAAATCACTTGAAGCCAAAATCTAATTCTAGTATAACATTTAAAATCTTCTGTGTTGAAATCGCCACATCTTTGCATTCTGTATTATGTTCTTTTAACTATATAGGTGAGTAAATAAAATGCTACTGAAGGTCTTTTTTGTAACCAGTTCCAGATTTTGGACCTAAATATGTTTGAATCCAATCTTTAAAGTGTCATTTCCTCATGAAATCCATACTACACAATAGTGTTGCAGGTTGGGCACATTACAGATTTACCTGATTGGCTGTAAACGAGTCCATCTCCCACCCCTTTTCTTCTGAAAACCGGAACTGAGTGAATGAATCCCCTGAGGAGGACACACACAAACAGTGAGAACTCGTGCAGACAATGCCCTGCAGTACTGTCAGTATAACCATCTGACTTAATCCAAATCAAAACACTTATCCTCTTCAGTTTATCTATTTCTCTTGAAGACAACAAAGACTGTGTGCGATCGATCCAGCTGTTGTGCTCATGGACAACAGAGTGAGAGGCCTTCACACCTAAAATGTCTGACATGGTAAACAGTGTTCCTCTGTGTGTGACACCTAAAGCAGCGCCGACATGCCGCGCCGCTTCCAAAACATCCGCTGGCTGAGGGCTCCTGTGCCTACGAACACGCTGAGGTTGTGTTATTAATGAACAGCAGACAAACTTGAAACTTGAGTTGAGGTAGATGAGTAACAAATGTGTTGAGTCATAAGACGACATCCGGCACAGCAAGGACACACAAAATCAGATGTGAAGCCCCACTTCTAGAAATCACATTGTTTTGTGTGTGTGGGTTTTTTTTTTTTTAGAATGGGTTGAAACTGACAGTCAGCATCTATTCCCTCTATTCTATATTTAATAGAACAGGCACATTGCTCTATTTACGATGTAATATGTTATTTTAAATAATACAACACATTCAAATAAAAACAGTCAAGTGTTGGAGCGTGGATCAAACAGCCAAGTGGTCAGCGCCACACACAGCTGGACGACCAGCGGGAGGCCTGTCAGAGCTGCAATCAGCCACAGCCTGTTCCTCCGTCCTGTGTGCATTATATTACAGACACTCAGCGCCATCTGCAGTTGTCCTTGATTGCTTGATTGTACAGGAAGTGAAGGGGGTCAAAAACAAAAAGCACCAGGAGGGCTTTTTGTCTGCCGCTGTCAAAACAGGCAGATGATTAATGAGTAGCAGCCTTATCGAGGTTACTCTGGCTGCGAGGCGGGCGGATAAGAGAAGGGAATGGGAATGTCAGCTTTATGTGACGGCTGACTGGGTGGATGCCTTTATCTCTGGCCTCATGGTGTCTGCTATTGGTGCGATTGACAGATTTCCACCCCGACGGAGAAAGATCTGTATATAAAATCTGGATTTGGTGGACGTGAAATCGAAAACCAAATTTCAGACTTAAATTACAGCTGCTAGTATCTTAAGCTGATCTCACATGATTTGACAACAGCATCCCGCACAAACTTTTCACTCAGGGAACCAGGGAGACATCCAGAGAGCTCTGAGAAGGTCCAGGTTGAAAACTACCGTCTTCAATATCGGAGTAACTCCATGAAATCAGATGTTTTCTATAAAGCACATTTATGTAACTGATGCTGGATGTCAATTGGTTTTGATTATTAGTTTAATTAGTTGGAACATGACTCTACATGCTAAAATCTGATGGCTATGTTTTCCACACTACCATTATTGGCTGATACTGGTACTGGCACAGATGCTGGGAAATGGGAAATGAAACTGCAGTGTAGGAAACTGCAGCAATAAATGTTTTCTAGGCTGGGTGCTGAACGCTGGTTCAAAGGATCAGACAGAAAGAACAGCCTCTAAACTGAAAACACTGGTGATCACAATTTTAATTTTGAAGCACAAAAGCAAAAGCAGCATCTTATCGTTTGAAAGCGAGGGTTCTCTCTCTGAGGAACACGGCAAGACGGGCGTACACTTCTATCCAAAGTGCAAGTCTTAACATTGGTTTAGCTTTGAATTTAAAACTCTTATGCAAACACTTCCTCTAGGTGTCCAAATTTATCGATGACTTACAACAACACATCCACCTGTATAAGGGCAGTGCTGGAAAAACTGTCAGGGCTTCATCCTATAGCAGCACAACCAGAAAACACTTCCAGTCTGTGTAGAAGGAAAGAACAAGACGGTTGGTGGTTGCACTGTAAGGAATCTGGCCTCTCTGACCTTGTCCCCAAAACAGCTGACCTGAGCTGTCCCTGCGATGTGCTCGTTCCTAATCCTGTCCTTCCTCGTCACTCCTCATCTCTGCTACCTCCATCTCTGCCTCGTCTTTTCCTCACTGCTACAGTCTCTAACATCATGCTGTGTTGGTTTGTCATGTAAAGGGCTTTGAATTGCATGTGTCTTGTATAAAATGTGCTATAAAGTTTGTCTGCTGATTGTTTTTATGTTGCATACACTTTTTAAAAATCATTCTCAAATATCACTGTCGGTATCCATCTAAAAAAACCAATCCAGTTCTCCCTGGCCTCGTCTGCCGACAGACAATGATGCATTAAAGACACTCTCTTTCATTTAGGCCATAATTTGCGATTCATCATGGAGAGCAGGAAAGCCTGTGTAATCATGTCATTCAAATGTTGGTTAATGGAACTGCTCCAGGCGTCAGTGTGCACGAGGTGCCTCGGCTCATTCCTCTCACTTTGCTGTTGTTGTTGTTGTTGTTGTTGTTGTTCACAGACCTATCCATGAACAACTCTGCGTTAAAACTAAATGAGAAATCTCATGAAATTCACCCTCAACAGTTGCTGCAGTGAACAGCCCGGCCTCTCGCACTTATGTTCACTGTTTTCCAGCTCCTCTTCCTCTCTGTTTAATATCTGCCCAGACCCAAACCCCCCTCCTGCTGCTGCTGCTGCTCTCTCTGTCAGTCGGTCTCCAACACACAGAACTACCGATACCGGTGAACCGTCTCCCTCCTACACCTCAGAGCCCGGTGTCATCCTGATCTGTGTCCATGGAAATATCATCCCAGGTAGTTCGGAGGTGCTGACAAAACCATGGCAACCGCTGCAAGTGAGGATGAGAAAAACTTCTGTCCAAGCTCCAAAAGGCAGAAGAAGTGAGGACTGAAGGAGGGGTGTGTGTGAAGAAGAGAGAGGAGCGAGCGGGTGAGGAGGGAAAGAAGAAAAATGACAGTGTGAAGCAGACTCGTCCAAACAGATCTGAGACCTAAATCCCCTCTCGACTCTTGGCAGAATTTAACATTGACAGCGGATCTGTGGAGCACGCTGTGTGAAAAACACTAGTGTGTGCTCTAATCACAGTGCACAAATACACACTGGTGCTTGGCCTTCGGTCACAAAACAGACTGAACGTTTTTGCTAGGATTTGTTAGATGGGAGCTAATATGAGGAGTTGATTATTAGCAAAAACACTAAACATGAACTTGTTTCAGCTTCTCCAGTCTGATTTGTTGCTTTTAAAGGACATTTCGTCACTGTTCAGCAGCTCATAGACCAAATTATTGACTGTTGAATCAGTAATGAGTGAAGCTCAGCTGCAGCCCCAGCTGGTATTTAGCATCATACATGAGACAGTGGCCGCTCCTCTCTCAGGATCAATGTTCATGTTCATTTTCATTGCAGATCAATCTGCTGATTATTGTTCAATGGTCATCGAGCCATGTGCTCGTTTTATGCATCGTTCACTATTGTTTTTGTCTTTCAAAGCAGAATATTAAAGAGTCTTTATGAACCCGAGTTTATCAATCAATCATCTGTTCTATGGCCTAAAATATCAGAAAACTGTGGAAAAAAATCCATCACAGTTTCTCAGAGCTCAAGATGATGTTGCACATTTTGTCCAAAAGTGAGTCAGAAGCAGAAAATATTTGGAACTCATGAATGGTAACGACTTCAACAACTGACTAATCAGCTACTGGACTCATCAACTGCTATTTTCAGCACTAAAGTCAGTAAAATGTGGACTGGCCACCACAGCTACATACTAAATGTAGTAACATGTTTACCGCACATCATCAGCAAATGTTTCCACACCGTTTCATCTCCAAACTATTCAAGGTCACCTGGAAATAACACCTGTCAGTAAAGCTGCTGACCTCACTGCACACAGCTGATTAAAGATCAATTCATAGCTTAAAACACTGCCTAAGTGCATCAGCGGCAGCTGGGAGACAGTGAATACACAGTGCACTACTCGTGCCGTGTGCTGAGGCGCTCAGCTGGCGTTGTGTAACTTCTGTATAATGTGGCGTCCTGTCTCTTGACATCTTGCTGGCTAAACCCCATTTTAACAAATGTGGCTTTTTGCCTGCGACCCTGGCTTCGCTGAGCTATCTATGGCTCCCTAGTGCCGAGTCACGCTCTCATCTTTTATATCTAGGATGAGTTGTGCGCTCTCGCTGGCCGTGCTCCCGCCTTTCTGTTCCGCTCTGCTGTTTTCCTGCTCCACTCAACGCCACTCCAGTCTCACTGCGCCGCTGTTCATCTTCACCCCTCTCCTCTGTTCTGCTCTGTGACACAGCTGAGTCAGGACAAAGATAAGACATGCCACATCTGTAGCACCTCTTTCCAAAAAGGCTGGGGGGCTGGGAAACACAGAAACTGAAATCTGACAAGACTTTACAACTGTCCTAACCCATCTTCTTCACAGCAACCTAACAGAAGCATTAATGCCACTAACTGTTATATGGGACTGCATGTTTTTATACTGGTTTCTCCAGTGTGACAATATGAACAATAAGTGATGTGAAGGCTGTGAGAACTTATGATGGACATTTTTGACCTATCAGCAGAAAACTCGCTAATGAAAACGACTGTTAGCTGCAATATCCTGCAACAATGGTGAATTATTTAACATCTCTGTTATCACTGCATGACTCAAAGCCAAGTCCCAGTGCGGCAGCTGTTACTTTTTATTTTAAGAACTAAAACTAAACAGTAAATGTGAAAGTGTTTGGGCACCTACCACGCCAGCATTTAGTGACCCCTCTTCAGCAGATATCACACCTTAAAACCATGCTGCAGCCAACTAAGAGCCTCCGTTTGTAGGTATTTTTGCCCACACTTCCTTGCAGATCGTTTCAGTCTGTGGGATATTTTTAGGCTGTTTAACATGCACAGTGATTTTAAGATCTACCCACAGTGGTAGACTCAGTGCTGCAGGGGTGGTATTTACTTTACACTTCAACAATCACCAAAACATGTACTGTAATTCGCCCAGAGGTTCCCGAACGTTTGAATACCACTGTACAAATACGGTGAGGACAGTGTACTCTGTGCTGTGTCGCCCTGCAGTACTTTCTCATCCTGTTTGGT